ACAAGAAGCTTCGATCTACGGAAGCAATACGACGCTATACCAATGCGAACAGTCTCTTGCGACATCGATACAGAGATAGACAGCTGTGTGAGACAGAGATAGTGCGATGATCTAAACCTAAAAAAAAACGATAAGAATATATGTAAAAATACTAAATGAACATGAATTCGGCACACACTAAACGCTAGCGGGTCCTGTTGGTGCCCTGTTACGCAGTTGGCCAACGTGTCGTTCATTGAAGCGTAGTGGTAGAAACTAGCCGGCAGCGATGACGATGATGTCGCGCGGAGTAGTCGTCTCAACGCCACTCTGAGATCGCATGCTGGTCTTCTAATGGCCTGATAGACTCTTATGTTTGTGGGATAGCGACTGCTCCTACGACTCGCGGCGGTGCAAAGGTGGTCGGCGGCTGTGCTGTCAAACAAGAGATCGTACGGCCGCCTATACACATGTGCACACACAGATACACAAGCAAACAGACGGACAGATTTAGATCGAAGATCATTGTAGGCCATGGCCTCAACTCTGTTTCATGGCCATCGTTAAAGACGACAGAAGTTCATGCAGTTCGCAGCCTCGTGCGTCAAAGTAGTCGCTGTTTCCGTCGCCGTCATCTGACATATCAGGAGTACGCAGCAGCATTACGCAGACTAAAGAAACAGCACTAGCGCTTAATAACACTGAGCATTGCGAACAGATCATAGCCAAATGGGTTAGCTCAGAGATGGTAAGGAGCACTGGGTCAGGAGCTAAATGCTATTGCTGTTACCATTAGATGAACTGCTTGCTGGCTCGCTTTCTTTTACAAACTGGTTAAGAGTTGAGCTATTTAGGCTTGCCTGAGTCGAACAAAAGTAGTCGACTATCGCCGGCAGCAGCGACAGACTTGACGCCAGAGCCGACATAAACGCGGCGGTGGCGGTAGTAGCGGATGAAGGACACAAAGGAGTTTTATGCCACAGAAGCAGCTTGTCAATTAGTCTTCATATGTTCAATCGGTTCCGTTATATGTTTACTCACTGGCACACTTCATCCTGGCTAAGGTCTGGCTAATGATGGGCCCCCTACGACAGATCAGAGCTAGGGGAAGAGTGCGTATATGCGTATATAAATATGTCTGAGCGTCTACATACGCAACTCGGGAGTGCGAGAGCGAAAACGTGAGAAAGGGTGTATGTAGCTCGGTGTATGTATGACGAGAATTTTCCGGCGATTCGTTAAAGCCTGCCTGTCTGCTTAAACTCGCCCGTGTCGTCTGCCGAGACGCACCACTGAGACAGCAAGCGGCTAAAGAGGCTGACGAAATAGGTTGTGTGAGCATCAAAAGTGTGTGTGATGCTGGTTGTACGCGTACACGTCTTTCGTCAGCAGCGAAACAAGATGCTGCTAAATTACTCCGTTACCTTGAAGCGATCATTTTGTATTGGCGAGTTCCCTAAATGCTAGTTGATTTGACGACCCAATGGATACACATATACTATACATACGTATATATATATATATATATACAAGGCAACGTTGATTTCGGACGCGTACATTGAGAACGCTCGTTTGTTGATTGTGTTTCGCAAATATTAAATAACCGATTTCCTACCTTTGATTAGGTTCGTATAACCTATTAACTTCCATGCAACAACACTATGCGTAGGCTTGTCGGGACAATATTTGTTGAACCACGGTCCTTCTAGGCACCGCGGCTCTGTGCATAGCCGCTATGCATACGCGATTATGATGACCGCTACGAAACGTCAGTTACACGATTTATGTGATTATTAACTACTATACTCGTGTGTTCTCCTAGTGTTTCATCAGAACACCTATTTACGTCATTATCTTTACTTACTAATTACTTTGCGTTAAACGCAATGTAAACATTCCCAGTTTCTTTCATTTTTGGTGTCCATTCTAAAAATATGCATCAGGTCCGAGCCGAAGGAAAAATTCGAAGCAAAACGAATACAGGTTGAACCGGTATGTGTGCACACCGTCTTATTTAACTAGTATTTAACAGAAGTTTACAACTGTAAAGTTGTTCTCAGGCTTTGGAAAATTTATCAACACTCAAATTGTTCATAGCTATGCGTCATATTCAAAGTCACAATAATAATTAGAAAAACAGCAACGTAACTCAGGTGACGAGGCTCATTTCGACATAAAGCGTTTGAAATTGTTAACAGCTCATCTTATTTTACATCACTAGGCAAACTTAGAGATTAGGAAGGGCCCCTTGTCTTAACCTCCACCACCTCCCTGACACAGCCCTGCGGCGTCAGGAGTCTAGCCTTCTTGCCACTGAGATCCATTAGCATCAAGGCAGATCAAACTAAATTCGAACTAAATCGTAAGTCTGCGTTTGCAAATATTGTGAATTATGACACTACAGCCAATACAACCATTCTCACGCACGCGGTCCACACGACGAAGCTCGACCGTCATGCCACAGTCCGTAATATACCCAGCTGCACGTCGTATGCCGTGTCGTTTAGCTGTTTGGCAATGAGACATGGGCTCAGACGCCGTCGCTCAGGCCTTCAGGCCGTCAACTAGCCCGGGCCCTAGCTGCGACCTTCTCTCTGACATGACAGATGTGAGAAACGACAGGCTTGAGGCTTGCAGCACTAGCAGTCAGCGCAGAAAATAAGGCCCTTCAAAGGCGTTACGCGTTGGTCCATCTATCCTTTTACTCGTTCCGCGAATCTGAGGAACAGCGATAGAAAGATTCGCATGATAACGCAGTAGCGAATGAGCGCATCTCAGTCGGTCAGTCTGTCACTCCGCGGCGACCCGTCCGATGCCGTTTTAACGCTGATGGCAATACGCCGAGACGCGCGGTGCACGGCGCGAGCTTCGACAGTAAACGCGTGGCGAGCAGCTACTACGTCGTTACTCAATGACATCTCGTTACTTGTGGCGGCACTGCTACTACAACGATGGTGAACAATGCAGCTGAGAAAGTTGACATGCGCTTCGGAATAAATAAACACACCGCACAAGAGAACAACAGAAAGACAGAGACAAATACATGGGTGAGCAACACTGCAACTACTACTTCTACAACTTCAACGACGACTACCCCCAGCCCCTGCACTTCTATGGGGATTGCGATCGTGCCGGGCTGCCTAGCCATACGTGGAGCCGAAGGTCTGTGAAGGATCACTTTGCCCATCGGGACAATGCAAAGTTGTCAACGAAAACGAGTGATCTCTGCTAATTTTACATATCATCAATAACGGCCGTGTTTGGCTAGAAGAGGATTATTTTCGTGCCATATTCATGAAGGGCATTCAGTTAAATAATTTTATCAATTAGTCATGTGTTTTCTAAAAACTAAGGTCTCAGATGAAACGGCCGCGTATCATACATGCGTCTTTTAGTTTTATTGTGTTTTGTTACACCCGTAGAAGTACCACTCATAAACGCCAATATATAGCGAGTTAATTGTCAGCATATTCCTAAGCAAACCCACTGGTATATAATTTGCTGCACTGACATCATTGGCACACATTGAAATGTTATTTTAAGATGTCTTCTTGCGCATCAATGGTTTTTTCATGCTTGGAAAACAGTTCTTTGAGCTATTACTCAAACTCGTTAAAAAAATCTAATGACTTACAGGTTCATAACCACCTAAGTTGAAAGTAATGGAGATTTACATATTATAGTAATATGGCGCCAGCAAGAGAATATGTTTCACGATTTCAAAGGCCCTCTTTAGGCTAATAAAAACGGCTTTTTTGTGGGCTATGACTGACTACTATGACCAACTAAAATTTAACGTTAGGTAAGCCGACATTTTCGATTATTATCACTGCCCTGAAGCGGTTTCAAAGAATCATCAAACGAGAACGCGTCCTATTTGGCGTTTCCGTTGTATATGGATGCTCTCTAGCAAGAAATTAAGTTATTCCTATATATATGATACTACTATAATTGCAGCTATTTCGGCGACTCGCCGTGGACAGCATGGAGGGTATCAGTGAAGAGGAAAGACGCTCACACCGTGCAGAACTCCAGCGTAGTCTCCAACGCGAGCTGGCCGATTCATTAATCCGATGTGCGCCTCTTGACGATATCAGGGTACTTCTTGCTTGTGGAGCTCAGGTCAATGAGCCGGTCGCGCAGGGACTCCGCCCCATCCATTATGCCATTTACCAACAATACCAACTGGCCGTCGAACTACTACTTGTCAGAGGTTGGTTTTTCTCGTCAGAAAAAAAATTAACAAAAGGATTCTGTCCATACTACACAGTATATCATCGTAATTTTAATTTGTTGTGGGTCGCCTCCGTACCTGTGGATTAAATGAGAGAACCAGCTAAGCGTTAAACAACTGTTTTTTCCAAGTAGAGGCTAATATATATATATATATATATATATATATATATATAAAAGACGCTGGCGTTATTGCACTGTTGAGTGCGCTGCAACGGACGCATTTTAACTCTGCTAGCTCTGGCGTCTTTCAAGAACCCCTATGCGTCAGCTAAACAATTTCGCCTAATTTCACAATAACTCATTATCATATCGCATATACGCTTAATGCAGGTTAGCAAGAGACAGCGTAAGAATACGATTTTTTAAGTGGGAAGTTTTGATGTGCGAAAACTTATTCTTACTAGCACTCAAAGGCTTGTTTTAAAAAAAACTGAAATTAAATATTGACCACTACTATATAATCGAATGCTTCTGATAGGGAATATTTGATTTTTTAGGGTGCCAAGTTGACGCAATGGACGATGTTGGTTATACCGCTCTTCATTTGTGCGCGGAGAAAGGGTTCCTTGAATTGGCTCAATTATTGATCAGTTACGGTGCACGGGTATGTTTTACCGATGTGGATACGCAAGGCCGATCGTACTATGGTAACCCACCACGGCAAACAATGGCGGACGAACCCCTTCGGATTGCCATTCGCAACGACCACTTCGAATTGGCTGAACTCCTACTTAAACACGGCGCAAACCCTAACGCTAGGTATCACTTTTATTTTATGATATCCTATATAGTAACATATAACCTCTACTCTACAATATAATGATACCTTATTCTATCATCACCTTTATCATCAAGATCACAAGCACATCACATATTCATTTAAGGCATAACCTAATCAGACGACTAGTGCTCATAGAACGAGCCAGTATCTTGTCTAACACCCGCTGTTGTAATAGAATTGACACTCGTACCTGTAGCTGCGCGTTCTACTGCCAGACAGATCGTTGTTACCGATTGTCAATGGCCTTCAGGGTTGAGTAGTTACTACAGTACGAGCGTGTGCATCAGCATACTGCATTTGTCAATAATACGATACATTTTCGCGTCTGTCGAGCTGGCTACCTGAATGCTGCTTTCGTTGCCATGACGACAGTGGCTACTATTGTCGTACGGTCGCACACGACTGGTCTAATTCGGCTACGTCTGCCTTTCTCTTATCGCCATCAACCCCTCTGCTGGTGGAGGAAATGTGTGCCACATCGCCAGCGGCACCAGTGCCGTTGCCATGACGGACAACAACAGCAATATCCTCAGTCGCGACGGCGCAACATCCTTCTGCAGCGCTTTCCTTCTTCACTGCAGAAACGTCGATGGAGGCACAAGGCGAAGATGGAACCCAAGAAGTGGATTTGATGAAAGATCTGGATATGACGGGGCTAACCGTTTCTAAGGATCGAACAGCAGCAAGAATTTCCACAGCTGCCACAGAGGTGATGCAGAAGAGCCCGGGTCTGCTCGTGGCGACTCAAGTCGAGGTAATGAACGAGTCAGTGCCGGCAAGCCGACGACGGCGGCAACAACAGCAGCTAGAACGGACGCTGTACGGTGCCGCTGAGCAGACAAAACAGGAAATAATTGTGGACGACAAGATGAGACGGTTACGGGTAGTGCCTTTCCGACCACCCTCGTTCCCCTTGCACAGGTGCATATGCCATTCATTGCCGTACATCTTTGATCTTATTTCTTTCTATGCTCTTCTGATAGTCCCGTGTCTTCCTTTCTATGTTTCTACCATGCGCCGATATGAGGCTATTGCTCGGCAATTAATTACTCTGCATTGTCATCAATTACAATATGTATATATGTCATATAATGCGGCACCTATGTTCCGTCTAAGTATCGTCCGTGAACCTGGCTGCATATGTTGAATACACTCAACGCTTTTGTGCTTATTATTGGCCTGAATCACAGTCAAACGGATTACTAATCATAATGGGAGCCAGAGAACTGTGTTCGCCGTAGGAGACTCTTGAACGTTTCGTGTCGTTTGTTTAAAACGTTCGCGGCAAAGACTCGTGATGTTTAAGCCGTCTCACCTGATTGTCGAAGTCGACATACCAGATTTTAAATTTCGCATGGGCAGTTCTAAGTGATTCCCTTCTCCACGTCGTAGAAGTTCTCCTGAAAGGGCAGGATAGGAGTCGATCTCTATCATTCCCCAGCCTACTTCTATTAACTCAGTTTCCCTATGTATTAGCTCATACATCAAGTCGTCATGGGACTATATAACATTCACCTTTCGCAGACGACAGCAATCGAAGGAGGTGTTTATTCTTTTCTTTTAGAAGATATATTTTCCAAGCTGAAGCCAGGTTGTTATTGCCATGCATTCGATCCCAGAACATGTTTTTTATTCAGACATATTCCCACTAGCTTGAACTGCATCCTGTCCCGCCATATATGAAGTCTTTCACAAAAATTGCGCGGCTGGCAGTATCCTTCCTTGTGCTTTCTGTTATTTAAATGATCTTAAATTGTTTCGTTTTGCATTTTTTCCAATCGATTTCACTAGCGTCGCTGCAATTAGTTTTATATTTTCAACAGCTTTCATTTTGCTGGCCACACACAGATACTTCGTCGGTGCAGAGATCAACCTTATCTCACCTCTGGCGCTCTCGTATATGGAGTTACTGCTCCGATATGGAGCTGATCCAAATTCCAAGGACCGAACAGGACTGACGCCCTTGATGAAAGCTTGCAGACACCCTCAAGGCAAGTGGGTTGAAGCCAGTTGTTAGATAGGGGAAAACCCCACAAAAATGAATGGGTTATTCGGTATGAAGTGCAGTACAGTGAAGTCTAACTTTTGAACACGTCTCATACGTTTAGTTCTTCTATATTTAATCAAAATATGCACCACTATTATCAATGACCTTTTACCGTTTTAGATAGCAACTTATTTACCAGAAGTCTGACATACGAACATCTTGGAGTATCGAAAAGCAATTTTAGTATCATGTTGGGATTTTAGTAACTTGCCTGTAAATTGTAGTTGGAAGAAACGTCTGGGATACCCCAGATGTTTCTTCCAACTACAATTCCTGTAAATTGTAGTTGGAGGAAACATCTGGGGTATATGGTGGATAACT